AAATAAAAACTATCCTTAAAGTAGTGGACACACATATAGTAGTAAGTATCTCTGCTATAGGATGTTTTTTTATTCTATATCATATTAAAATCATGTAATAAAGAGAAAAGTGTTACAGCTTTTTCTATTACATCATCATCAGCTTCAGCATCATCAACAGTCTCATCATCATCCTCCATTCTTCTTCCTGAAGTGTTTCTACTGGTTAGTGTGATGAGTGCAGCTTCTACATGCCACACTCTGGATCTAGGTTAAAGGGATCTACAGGCTGACAGAGGGAGAGAGGAACTGTTTCCTGTTCGTCACCTCCTTCCTGCTAAACCTCGTTTCTGTAGGACCAACATGGAGGACAGCTTCTCTCCCTCTTTCCACCTCTCTGCTATTGTGGGGAACGATTGAGTCATTAAGTGACAAATAGAGAAAGCCGTTCGTCTTGTTCCTTGCGTTACGCTTCACCTTTCCCTTCTTTCCTTTCCTTTCGCTCTCCGCTCTCGCTCGCTCTGCGCTCTGGCCTGTGGGATCTTCTTCAGCAGGAGACCTCCATGGTTTGGGAGGGACTGGGCGGCATTTGGCCCCCCTGAGAGCCCTGGGAGAGGGTGCGAGAGCGAGAGCGAGACCCGTCCATGGAGTAGGAGGAGGAGAGCGAGGTGGTGCGGGAGCGGGACAGGCGGGTCATGCAAGAGGAAGCCACTGTGGAGAAAAATAATTTTTAGATTCAGATATTCTTCAGCTTTTCCTCAAACAGAAAAAAAGGGATGCAGAAAACCCGTCATTATAATATAAACATATTTGAATCCAATCTGCATTAGCTTTAAATAAATTCATATGGGTTCATTTTTTCAAATGTATCCTAAAAGTCTAGAGATGGTTCCATCTCTTAACCATTACACATTTTGTTCCAATTATAAGTGAAAACGTTGATGTTTGGTTGAATTTAATCTAAAGAAGAATCTGGTTCTAAATACAATCAGTGAAATGCAGCAGTATTTTAGTCGCTTTGCTCTGAAAGCCTCAATTAAGATGCTTAATTAATAAATAAAAATAGATGAATAAATGCAGACCATATGTGAGCAATTCAGTCTCACTATACGCTGGTCAAAGAATTTTTGGTGAACAAACATCTTCGTGAAGGTTAAGGAAAACAGCAGACTGGTTGGGAAAATAATTTTAAGGTGTTAGTTATGTTCTAGAACAAGCTGAGCTTTAGATTCTCTGCAAAGAAGAAAAAACAGAAATGTGCGTCTGAAGCTGCTAGAGCCAAACCACTACCCACATGCTGCTGTAATTGCAGGTTATTACGGCTTTGCAAACTATTGACCCAAAGGGGATGAATATTAAGTATATTGTTTTCTTTTCACATCAAAAAGCAATAAAATGCAGTAAAAGCTTGGTTCTAAGTTTAAGGGATGTTTAAAAGATAAAAGTTTTGAAATGTTTTCAAAGGTTTTGTAAATAAGGGATAGACATCTGGAGTTAAAAAGTTCATTTGAACGCCAGGTATGTATCAGAAGTAGAATGGTGAAATATTAACTTTCTTTTTTTATCACCTGCAAGTAAATATTAGTTTTTTGCTTGTCGTCCTTCTTAAAGCCCCCAACAGTTCAATCTTCAGATCATAGTTTTAGGAAGAGAGATCAGGCTCTAATCAATCCCATAAAAACTTTACTGCTAAGAGCATGTGGAATGGAAGGTTCAACAGAGCTATGGCTCTGGGTTTATGCTTTCAAATGGCTAAACCGACAAAATATCTTTGTGATTATAAATAAGATTGATCTTATTAAAACTAAGATCATTAGCACTCCTCTGTCTACGACTGGTTTTTCTCTCAGAAGGTGAGGCAGCATCTGAGGTAGTCATGGAGTCTGAACCGGGTTTAGACTGCTTTGATCCAGTTGAACTTTCAGAGTTAGCAAAAATATTTTCGTCATCTAAGCCTTCAACTTGTATTTTAGATCCAGTTCCAACCAGGTTATTAAAGGAGGTATTCCCTTTGCACTTGTCCTCCATTTTAGATGTGGTTAATCTATTCCTGTTAGAGAGATATATACCAAAGGCTTTTAAGGTTGCTGTAATTAAACCTTTGCTTAAGAAACTGTCTCTTGAACCAGATGACTTGGTCAATTATAGACCTATATCCAAACTTCCTTTCTTATCTATCTATATCTAATGATATTCTCATGGCCTCAGATAATGGACTTGTATCTGTGCTCGTCCTGTTGGATCTCAG